TTCTCTGAACCATACTAAGTATTTTACACATTTTAGTCAACCTTTACAACTTAACCATTTTGTAAATAAGAAAACTAAATCTTAGAGAACTTAGTTGTGCAAGTTAATAGCTAGTGAAAAAAAGGGCCAAATGAAGCTTTGATTACAATGGCCTTTCCAACCTAGGGAGTCCACAGCTAAGTCCCTTCAAGGGGGTAACATTTACTCCCATCCAGGATGAGGCAGAGGGCAAGTGTCAATGTAAACTGAAGAGAAGAAACTACATTTGAGCTGGGTGTAGTAGGGTAAATAAGATTTTCCTAGGCAGGTGGGCTAATGAGAGAAGATTCAGAGAAATTAAAATGTGTTCATTGCTTGCTGTGGGATTTTTAAGTGGTACTGGGTGGCTAGTGTGCAGCTGAAGCTGGAAAGGCAGACTTGGGCCTTATCATAAATGCCTTTTATATTATTCTGGTGAGGTGAATGTCATATCAATGAGTCCTGGGGAAGGAGGATGAGTAAACTGCCTGGTGGAAAGATTGTATGTGGCTACTCATCTCCATGTAAAGAAAAGGGGCAGGGATGGACTACCTATAGGGCTAACTTTTCATCTGATGTGCTTCATCCGATGATACTTCTTCCTCAACGCACTTGTTAAATTATTGCTAGACAATTTAACTTGTATAATTGCTCACAGTCTCACTTACCTACCAAATTGTAATAACCTTGATAGCTGAGTCTGCACTGCTCAGTGTTGTGGTTAAAGTAGCCAACACATAGCAAGTGCACAGATGTTTGTTGAATGAAATGACTTTTTTCTGAAGAATGCTAACAGGTTGCTTCTAGGCAACTGGGTCAATAGTAACACTGTTCACTGATGAGAAATCAGGTTTAATGGGGGAAAAAAGGGCTTGATCTTAACAATGTTGAATTTGAAGAGCTTAGGGGATATATTGAGTTAGAAATACCTAGACTTTTAGGATGACTGATAGCTCATAAGAGCCAGTAACAGAATGTTGAAAACTGCTTAGAATGTACCAAACAGAATTCTTCGTAGTTTGATGTTCCATAAAAATAGCTATCTAATTTACATTGCCAGGTGTTTATCCTAGCTATATCAATGAAGTAGAATCAATTGTGTTTTGTAAACAATAAAAGCTTATCAGCACATAAAATTCAGAATAATTTCCAAAGAGAAATATAGTAATATAATAAACAGTAGGGAGAACTTAACTTCCCTGAAGGAAAGAACAAATAGTGTATTAAATGTCATGCACATTGAAATTTAATGCCAAATAATTTGCAAATATTAGTATAATGGGAAATTACAATCATCATCAAGTATTAAGTATTTTATGGGTATTTCGCTTGTGATATTTAAGCTTCAATATTTTAAATACAGAATATAAATTAGGATTATGAAAAATGTGTAATGATAGAATTTTTGACAATACAAAATGAGAATTAGGACTAGGAAAATTTATGGTGATAGAACTTGTCTCAAAACCAGTGATAGAATCACTTTTCTATGCTAGCTTTTAATAATTGGACATTAAAACTCCTGTAATTATTGCTAATTTTGCCATCAGATGAGAGGCAATTTGGGGATCAATGCAGAAAACCCAGAAATTTTTCTTGTAGGCAAATGGCAAAGTTACAGGAAATTATGACTGCTCTCTCATTCAGTAGAGCTGTGATGTTTTTTCAGACAAAATGGATTCATCAAAATGAACACTTACATAAGACCTCAAACCAACTTTTAAAAGCCAGCTTTGATTCTCAATCTTTATGGTGGAAAATGTCTAGGTGACCCAAAAATCACAATGAAGCCTATAGTAGATAGTATATAAGCAATAATTGTTTTGGTCCACCATAGCTTCACCTTTAAATAACACTGAGTTTATTTTCCTTTTCCCACAAAAAGGAAACTTTGCAAAAACCCATAAAAAATTCCCTCTGAGGAGGAAAAATTAAAATTTTATGACATCTCAGTTTTTGGCTATTATTTGTAGTTAAAGCTATATTTTGTACTTTTTTTTAAAAAACTATTTTACTGAGGTAAGTTGGTTATACTACTACGTATGATTTGGGGATATTGGTTCACACCTCTTCAGATGTATGTTACCACACCACATTCACACCCGTAAGTATGTGTTTCTTAAAGTGATTTAATATTTCACAGTTTAGTGGGCAACTAAAGCAGCATTGAAATTACATCCTTTCAATAAGGCGGGCCCTATTTCCTTCTGTCAGATGCAAACTAGAGATTTCAGTGCAAAATACAAATAAAAAGGAGACATTTGTTTAAGCAAACAAGCAATTTGTTCGTGTGTATATCTGATCCTTATTTGAAAGAGGTGCAGGCTCTGCTCAGTCATTTACATTTGAAAACTATAAACTTTCCCATTGTCCATTAAAATGACCCTATTGGCAGTGTGGGACTTGGAAGCAACAATAGCTGCATTAACTGCAGGGATGTACTCCAGCCGCCACTGGAGCTCAAACTAAGTCTTGACATGGGAAAGATAATAGACAGATAAAGGTATTCTGTTACCTTTCTCCCATTTTTTCCTCCAGTAAAGTGCTTTATTGAACATTAGCTACCTGGGTAAGGCAGGCATGACCTGTCTGTGGTGCCCCCAGATTACCAGACAGTTATTTCAAAACAGTTCTACAAGAGAATTTCAGGCAAACGCACTAGGCCTGGGGTGGGGGCGGGGGAGTCTTTAATGCAAATAATCTCAACTTGAAAATGAAGGGATAAACGAATTCCAATGTTTTGATTTCTCTTGCTATAACAAAGCCAATCCATTTTTCCCAACCTTCTCAATAGCCTCTGGATTAGATATTATCTTCAGAGTTGGATATATGAAGGAACATTTTAAAAATCAAGTTAAAATATGTTGCCAGAATTGCATACCTTTGTTTAATCTTAGTTTGTAATAGGAAAGAAGGTACTACTGCAATACCATACTCCCCCCAATCCCATGCTATACTGTTAGTGACTCAATCTTTTATTAAAACGAGTTCTTGGCAAAAGATCATTAAAATCCATCTTTCCCAAGGGAAAGAACACCACACGGTTAATTTACAATTTTTGGTTTATTGTGCTGTTCCACATGATGCCCAAATATCCTGTGTAAAAGTACCCTCCCAGTTTGCTCATGTAGGATAGTTTAATCAGAAGCATGGAGTGTTTTATATAAAAAGTTAAGGTGTCATAGTAGTTATCCAAACATTACATTTTTTTATAATTTATTTTTGTTTATTAGGAAAGGAAAGCTGTTTTGAAAGGATAATCCAAAGGTTTGGAAGAAAAGTGGTATATGTTGTTATAGGAGATGGTGTTGAAGAAGAACAAGGTGCAAAAAAGGTGAGTTCCCCGCCACGGTGCGCCTGGTGACATTTTATTTTCCATAGCTCTCAGAATTCGCATAACTACATCATTTAAAGAAGTTACATTTCTCTAAAACAGATCCTGAATGTGTTCAGAATTGTAATCATTGAAACAGAACAGAAAATTAAATATGATTTCTGAAGAGTAGCACACTCAAGGCACAAGGATAGCTGGTCCTCATACCATAATGTTTGGGGGCAGAAAAGGCAGCTCGATGCTGCAGCCATGATGTAGGCAGAGGTAACACAATGCCAAGCTCTTGTCAGGGTGCCCTTTTCCATGCCCGTGGCAGACATCGCCAGGTAACTGCCTTATTTGAGCCTGGATGCAGCCTGAGAGCCTTGCAAACATTTCAGAATTCTACCAGTTGGTCAAAACTAGCTTGCAAGATGAAAACTATTTGCTGCCATAGAGTAGATGCCTTATCCTGAGGTGGATGCCTCGCCCCTTGGGGATACTTGCAAAGGGGAAAAGGAGCAGACTTAACTATTGGTGCTTTGATGCCCCATTTGCCCACTACTCTTTGATTCCTTTGCATCCCTCATTTTTTCTATAATCCAAATTTATTTGTGATGATCCTCATACACATATCTAACATATTTGTTTGCAGTACTAAGTTATTAAATACTAGACTACTGAGCATATAAAACAGTGGATAACCCTGCTCTTCAGGAAGTCTGTGAGGCATCATAGTACGAATACTAGTACACAGATAAACAGGTACAATAGGAGCACAGAGTAGGGACAAAGAACTCGGCCTGTAAGAGAATGAAGTCGGGGAAATTTCAATAATGCATTTTATTGGAGGAGGAAACAGCATTCCTTAGCCTGGCATTCAGGGTTTTCAGAGTCTGGTAATAACCTTTCTCCTCTTTCTCATTTCTGCCCTCTACATTGCAGTAACATCCTTCTGCTTACCTTCCTTCAGTGGGGCACTGCACTTCCTCTCTGCTGTTGCAATGGTCCTCTCCCCAACACCCTACTGTCACTGTCTTAAATCATTTTTCGGCAACCACTTCATGTGCCACCTTCTCTATTTCCTGTTTTTAGTACTGCAATTACAGTAGTGCTCACTTTAAATAAAGAAACTTTTATGGTTAAAAGCTTAGATTCTTGAGCCAGACAACCTGGGTTTGAATTTTAGCCTTGCTGCTTACAAGTTCTGTGTTTCAGGTTATACGTTCAAGTCTTTAACTCATTTTTTGTATATGGTGTAAAACAGCAGTCCTGGTCATTCTTCTCATTGCTACTGTTCAGCTTTTTTAGTTTTCTCTTTATTGAAGACACTGTCCTTTTCCCAGTGTATATTCTTGCCTCCTCTGTCGTGAACTGATTTACCATCCATGTCTGGTAAATTATTCTTATTCTTTTCTATTGATCTATATAACTGTTTTTATTCCAGTACCATACTGTTTTGATTACTATGATTTTATAGTTTGAAATCAGGAAACCTGCTGACTCCAGCTTTATTCTTTCTCAAGATGACTGGCTATTCAGCGCCTTTTGTTTGACCATTCCTTTCTTCTATTCTGTCTAGCCTTTTTGGATTACCTAGTATTTAAATAACAGTACTCTGTGCATAAGAGATAAGGATCTAATATTTATGGTAGATATGAATATAAAAGTGGAGTTCTGCATAGAAATAACTATTTAACTTAGAAAACACTACTCAGCAGTATCCCATTTTAAAAACTAAAAATATAAATATGAGCTAAAATGGTCATTTTTGATTAATAATCTTAATTAGGAGTATCAAGAATTCTATAAGAATCCTTACACTCATTTTGTAGGGAGGTGAATAAGAAAGTTGCTAAACTAGGGTTTGAGCCCAAAGTTCCTTCAAATTATAAGCCTTACTTAACTATGCTTTGCAAAAAGGAATTTTCATGCCAATTTTTTAAAGTGTTCACTGGCTTGTTCCCTCTTAGTAGGTGGAGGTAAATATAAATATCCTCTTAAAATTAAAAAAAAAAAGTCATTCTGATATAATTTAGTTCATGAGCATTTTTGGTTAAGTATGATTGATATGGAACCAATGTATTTATAGAAGTTTAAGCACTGAAATATTTTGCAAAATGAAGTATTTTCATCCTTCAAAATCAATTTTAAGGTGTTAGTTTGTATCTGTTTCTTCTGTCCATTTAAAAATCTTGGATAACACTCTCTTCTATCCCTGTAAAAATGTCTTTCATCTCCCTAAATAATGTTCTCTTGCTAGAGAAAATTACTTATTTTAAGCCAAGAAATGAAAACCAGTAAGTATTCTGCCAGTTGCCTGTTGTCTTTGTTCTCTCTGTAGTGTACTCCCAAGGCTTTCATCAGTAAATTTATCTATTCTATCATTTATATCATTAAAAAAATTCCCTTCAAAGAGAAAAAAGTTATAAATTCTTTTTCTAAAAAGAACATTATTCTAAAAAGATCTATTCCAAGAGTGTTCTGTGATCACCTCTTTGTTCCTAAAAAGACTCTGATGAGGAAATTGAGATAAGCCATCTATCAACTGATAGCTTTGATATATATCTTTTGTTGTCAAAATCTGCTAGGTTTTCTTTTTTTCACAATTCTGTTGCCCTAATTTTATTCAAACTCGTAAAAAATGGCTAGGTCTATGTATGATAAAAATTAAAATGTAAGTAATTGGCTCTGCACACTGACAGCAGTTTTTTTAAAAAAACAAAAGGCAGATTTATTGAAATACATTAAAGCAACAGCTGAGATAGGAAAGGTCTGCTGCACTGACAGCAGTTTTGATTTCTTAAATTTAGTGTTCAGAGAACTTCCTAAAATAACAGCCTCATGATTAGCATGGGGGATGGGTGGCAAGCATCCATTCTATATAAAGACCATCAAAAAGTATCTATTTTAAATGTATACTCTTGCAGAACTCCAGGCTGTTCACTGACAACATGATTAATAATTCTCAGTTCTAAGGTTATGCAAGAGAAAAATAAGAGCTACCTTTTTTTAAAAAAGTATTTTTTGTTGAGGTAACTTTGGTTTAGAACTCTGTAATATAACCTAAGGTTTGCACCTTTATAAATATGTTACCACACCATACTCTTCCCTTTCCGATAGCCATTTCTAGGGGCATTGTTTTGTCTGTTCCTTTATACTCTACACATATAAGTGATGCTATCTGGTATTTTGTCTTTCTCCTGACTTATTACACTTATCCTAAGTCTCTCCAGTACCATCCATGTTGTCACGATTTTATCTTTTTTATAACTGAGTATTCCAGTGTGTGTATACATACCTATCTTTATTCACTCATCTGTCCTTGGCCAGTTAGGTTGTTTCTATAACTTGGCTACTGTAAATCATCCTGCAATGAACATAGAAGTGCAAAAACTCTGTCAAAGTAGTGTTTTTGTATTCTTTGGAATGGAATTGCTGGGTTGTATGATAAATCTATTTTTAATATTAAGAAACTTCCATACTGTTTTCTACAGGGCTGGACCAGTTTGTTCCCATCAGCAGTGTAGGAGGGTTCCTTTTCTACTATATCCTCACCAACACTTGTTTCTGGTCTTTTTTTATATAGATCATTCTCAAAAGTATGAGGTGGTTTTGATTTACATCTCCCTAAGTTTAGAAAAATAACATTTTTAATGCAAGTTTTTCCTTTTGATTTTACTTACATGACACATAAGGATTAGCAGCAAGTGCACTAAATTTTATTCTGTAGCCATAACATTCTGTATGCCAGATCTTGGAGTCATCTTCATCTTTAAAGAATTCACTTCTGTCCAGAAGGGAAACATAAATAAAAGCAATGCAATGCATTGTTTCATAATGAATTGTCAAGAAAACAGCCTTGGGAGATAGGTAATTTACAACTTGCAAAGCAGTTAACCCTCATATGCAGTGTTTCTAGAGATAGTATATATATGTGAAAACAAAGATATGTTCTTTTGGGAACTACTTTTTCTGTATTGACTTTTTTTACTTAATCTATCCTGGCAGTTTTTCTATCTAAATACACAGAACTTTGTGTCTCCAATTCTTTTATTTTTTTATTTTTTTTTAATTAATAAATTTTTATATTCCCCATACAATTGCAATCCCCCCATTCTGACCCCAATCCCTCCCCACCCGCCCCCACCCCCCAAAAAGTGTCTCTGGTTCATAGTTTTTGTTGATTTTGATTTTCACTTTCTTATAGTTATTCATTTTCCTGGTCCCTTATTTAAGTTTTCTAGATCCCTGCTATGAGTGAGACCATCCGGTATTTTTCTTTTTCTTTTTGGCTTATTTCACTGAGCATGATCCCTTCCAGCGTCATCCATGTTGCTGCAAATTGCATGTGTTTATCTTTTTTGAATGCTGAGTAATATTCCATGGTATATATGTACCACATCTTCTTGATCCAGTCATCTATTTTTGGGCATTTGGGCTGTTTCCAAAGCTTAGCTATTGTAAACAGTGCTGCTATAAACATAGGGGTGCAGGTGTTCTTTGGGTAAATACCTAGGAGTGGAATTGCTGGATCCTGTGGAAGCTCTATTTTTAGTAGGTCCAGAAATCTCCACACAGCTCTCCATAGTGGTTGGACCAGTTTGCACTCCCACCAACAGTGCAGAAGAGTTCCTTTTTCTCCACAACCTCGCCAACATTTGTTGTTGCTAGTTTTTTTAATATGTGCCATTCTCACTGGTGTAAGATGGTATCTCATGGTAGTTTTGATTTGCATTTCCCTGATTGCAAGTGATGTTGAACATTTTTTCATATGCCTGTTGGCCATTCGCATTTCCTCTTCAGAGAAGTTTCTTTTTAGTTCCTCTGTCCATTTTTTGACTGGATTATTTTCTTTGATGTTGTTGAGTCTCATCAGCTCTTTGCAGATTTTTGTGATCAGTCCTTTATCATTAGTGTTGTGTGCAAAAATGTTCTCCCAGTCGGTGGGGTTTCTCTTTGTTTTTGTTATTGTCTCTTTTGCTGTGCAGAAGCTCTTTAATTTGATGTAGTCCCAGCTG